AATCATTATTTTACTAATTAGGAAAGTTAATAAAGACACATTGTGAAAGGGCTGTCAGAAAAATATATCTCTCTGTTAAACATGCGAAATGAATAAGTCACGGAGAAGCCTAGCGAAAACCAAATGTGAACATTGGGAATTAATGAGGCAACAATATGGGTGGTAAAAAAAAAATTACTTAAAATATTTATTCAATAACATATAACATGGATCAAGTCCCACACTTCTTCATGTACTAGTAGAAGACATTTTGATTATAAAAAATTTCAAAAATTTTCAAGATTCAACCTTTTTCTTATACTTTGAAACCCCGCATGGGAAATCATTTATACAATGCATAAAATATTTTGCATAATATAATTCAACCAGCTTATGAGCTGTTTTAAAAGGGGAAGCACTCACTATTATAACGAGAGTAGTACAAGGCCACCGAACTTAAACTATACTAGAACATACCCGCGACATCGTGGGTCCGTGACTGAATTAAAGTACCTACGCCTTATTTTCAGTCTGGTTTTTTAGAATTCGTATTGTCATTTGATAAAAGTCATGCGGATTATAAGGTGCACATTTTCTCTGCTTTCAAAATCTTTCTGTTCGAACTCGTCCTGGTTTTCTTACTACAACCGGAAACTACATGTGACAATGATTGAATTTAGTAGTGTCAATCCCTGTAAAATAACGAAGTGCAGGTGTGATTATGACCCGTGTATATAGCAAATTCCAAATACACCGTTTGGTGATGCGCCTGACAGAGGCAGACTGTACAGATTAGGTAACAGGTAACAGGTGAGACATACTATTGTTACCGGTATCGGATTTGACCCGGAACTTGATAATTATTGTTAACATTAATTATCTGGAAAACAAAAAGGCCTGGAATGGTGTAATTTTTAATCAACACCATTATCCTATAATATAGTTATATATAAAGTTGAGTTCTTTGATTCGTCGTTCTTACGTCATTCCGGCTAACAAATTGGACCTAGTTATTTTAGTTGTATGGATACAAATGTATGTCATATCCCTTTGAAATAGCATTCTAAAACTACACATTCAAAGAAACCATGCAGAAGTTCTTTTTTCAACCAACTTTTCGCTTCAACTAGTGTTGAACTTTTAAAAGTTAAATTATTTTAGGTTAAAGCAAGATTTGTTATTTTAATGTATTTAAAGTCTACATTTATATCTTTTACGTGAAAAAGATTTCTAAACGAGGAATGGACAAATTCCCATGATTTTGTTTTTCAGCAGGACCATATAAGTCTTTCAATATTTACTTAAATTCTCAGTATAACACCTCCATATGTGTATTTTGAGATTCAGTCTAACATCATTATAGCTTATTCATTATAAAACAGGTTTTCTGTTTGAAATAGAATAATATAATTTCTTTTGGATTCAAATTAATTCATTTTGGTTATAAGACATCCCTCAATTCAAATTTTACAAACATGTAAAATATGCCATTTTGAATTACAACACCAACATACAGACATATAGAGCTGAATCCCATTTTTTATAGATACATGTAAACTTGTGGAATTGTTTTGATACTCGAGCTCCAGTAGACTATGACAGCTGTTAGATGTTGACACCCTGAGTGAAACAAATCAGAGGAGATTAGCCCTACCTCTTTGCTTTTTGTAGAATTTCGTAATAAGACCTTTTTTTTTCAATTTCATTTGTTTAAGGTAGAAATTGAAATTCTCATCTCTTTTGACCGATTTCGTCAACTGTGATTTATTACTCGATACGCTCATCTTGTAAATTTTAATTTCATTGAAACGTAGATTAATAAAATCGTACTGAAATAAAGGTTGCAACTTCCTTAGGCAAAGCTTGCTGTGGATGTTTGTTTGAAGATACCTCTGTACTCTGTAAAGTGGTTTATTTATTGAGTGTACCTGGTGAGGATCGATCCAATGACGTCAGCACTGAAATTGGTATAAATCATTCATAGTAAACCATAGAAATGATATATCCCTATGATAATCTCCAAACCTTCACCTTTGTAAACCCTCGAGAATAATTGATATTCCAATGGTAAATTAATCCAGTATTATTTTAAAATCCATTCTGATAATTGGTACAGATGGAATCAAGGTTCTGAAATAAACGGGATAAGTTCAGCTTCCTGAATATCAAGTTTCCATTTCCTCGTTTATAAAATATACTTTTCTTTTGATTGGTGTGCCTACTAGAGTCGGTGATTGATACGACTTTGATCCAGGATGATACTATCTGAAGTTTGTAAAATTCAATGTAATTTACGATATATAATTAGACTTGATATCATATACATCATTTTGTAAAGTTGTAATCAAAGTTTTTCTTCAATGCGTCGCCATGTAACATTGTTAGTCACGAAATTCACTAATTAAAATATGTATCAATTAAAAAATAATGTGGGAAGTAAATAAAACGGACATTTACACCATATTTCTGTTATGTTAAGAGAAAAAAATTCTCTGTTTGTTCACAACATCATAAAACCTTGTTTTATAATATTTTATAGTGAAATCACCTAATGTTTTATTGCAATGAGCAACACGACGGGTGCAACTTTAGGTGCAGGATCACCTGAGATCATCCCCGATTTTTGCTGGGGTTCGTGTTGCTCTTTCTTTGGTTTTCTCTGAAATGATTTGCAGACTGTCATTTATTTGTCTGTTTTTCTTTGACTAATGATTGTTGGTTGTCCCTTTGGTATTTTTTGCCTCTTGTTTACGTAGACTATCGTGCAAAAAGGAAAATTATATTACGCTAGACAATAACGAAGTTAATATATTTGTTTGACTTTTGTTGTTATAATTTCTTTTAACACACAAATCCAAAGACAATAGTTGGTAGTCTTAGTTAAATGTTTTCACTACTCGTCTTGACTCGGGGCTATTTAGAGCTTGAAATATGGCATATATGCGCGTATTCAACATTGCGCATTGGTGAACAAAACTTCAAACCATCGACTATTTCTGTACTAACTTCACAAATTCGCCTTATCAAAACTGGCATTACGTTAACTATTTGTAAATCATCAAAGTTGTCAGTCACATCTTCGAATATATAACCAATCAATAAATATTTTACAATTAACATAATTTGACTCATAGTTATTTCCCTTTACCGTCATGTTAGAGGGCAACATGCACCAATACATTCATAGATCAACTAAATCTAACTTGTCATTCTTGTCACTATAAACTGTGTTTAAGTCATGTGTAATTCATCACTACAATACTACGATCTTGTTTGTTTTTTTTAAATCAAGACTTGCGTGTACCACATGTTTAAATTTTGTTAATATTGTGACGGGATTGCTTCCCTTAGTAAATGTGGTAGATACTTAGTCAGTCGTAATGCCTAGGTCACACATTCACGGATCACCTCGCCGGTTCCACTGCGGATTAAATCTCACGGATGATTCCGGAAATGCAGTTTCCGTAGTCCGGTACGGATTCGATACGGGTGCATAACAGTTTGTCGACGGGTTTTGGCGTATTCACCACGGGTAATGTAGGAAAGGGGTCATTTGGCGACATGAGTGATACGGATTTTTACGGTAAGACACGGTTTAATACGGAAATGACACGGTTTAATACGCAACGACACGTGTCGGGGCGCATGTACTGCGGATAAACAGCGGTTTGCTACGGTATAAGTAAGGGTTAGTACGAATTAGAACGGTCTGATACGGAATAGTACGAACCACCACAATTTCTAATGCCTAGGTCACACACGGATTTGACGCCGGATTAGCTACGAATACGATCCGGCATCATTCGTGGCAATCTGTATTAGTCCGTAGATTTCCGTATTGTAGCCGTAGTCATACGTAGTAGTTCTTGTATATCCGTGACAATTTTTGAACATGCGCAAAATTTGACCACGGACCAAACAACCGTAGCATATCCTTACAAAACCGTATTAGAACGAACTGGTCCGTTTTAGTCCCTATCAAAACCGTATTAATCCGAAATTATTCGTAGGCCCGAAGGATTTCTACGGTTAGTTACGGACAACTACGTACTAGTACGGTTACACCACGTATTTGCTAAGGATTTGTTACGAATTTGTCACGGAACGGCGCGATTTCATTACGTTGCAATACGGATAGCTAAGGATCAGTCAGGGTTATCAAAGTCTGTTGCGGTTTACTACGTTACAACACGACAAAATACGGAATATTGCGGTCCACGACAAAATGACATAAGGCCTCTGTATAAACACTCCCTATTTATAGGGCCCAACGTAGTCTGTGTCTTGCCGTAGAGGTATAATACATAACATTATCCAACTTGAACAATCAACAACTGGTGCTTGCAATTAATTGGCTGGAATTGGATATTGATACGGCACAAAATTCCAGGGCAGTGGTCAAGTCACATGATGACAGACGTAGAGGTAACCGGAGGCAGAGGAGATAGTGGACTATGGACTGGCGCTTAATAGAAGACCTATCCATGGCCAGTATGAGGTCCTCATGGCTGAACTTTGTGTGGAAAATCCAGCTGATTTTAAGAACTTTGTAAGAATAGTCCCAAATATGTTTCAAGAACTGCTACATGTCGTTGGCCCGAGGATTACGAAGAACACCACCTGGTACAGACAGACAGATAAATAATTTATTAAACAAAACAAAAAAATCATCGATTAACTGCCATTAAAAAGTGATAAATCACAAGCTTAAACTAGAAATGATTAACGGCTTGAGCTAAGGAAGTACTTCTTAAGCTCAGGCGGTATACGCGCTGCCTTGTAACACAGAGGTCCCGGGTTACAGTCCCGGTGGAGACTAAGACGATTTTGTAAGAAGAATCATGCTCTCTGGTTACAATATTATAATAAATAAATTTAATCGGTTTGCTCTCCAACATATATAACGTAGAAATAACTGCAAATGAAAAAACGTCATTAGAAATAAGCTAAATCAAACGCAGATTCATCTCTATTTTTAAAACGCATTTGATAGATGTATAATCAGTTTATTTTTCTTTCAGGGTAAAGCCTTATGATGCCAATCCTTTCCTGTCAAGAGAAGCATATGAAGACTACTGAATGGTCAATTCTGCTAACCTCTAGTCACATGGTTGTGAAGCCAATTTGTGACCCGATTGAAATTTAAAATCGTTTAAAACGAACATTAAGTGCCTGAAACACATAATTTTAATAGAAGTTAAATTCAGTGCGCTAGAATATTTCGGTCTTTTAATTACTTTTTATTATTGACATATTCTCATGTTTTATTTGATTGTATACATTCTGGTTTATTTTTCCGTCCTATAAATGTTTTATTAGATAAAGTATTCTTGTAAAGCTACACCCTCTTATGCCACAATACATTTGGATAATATATCCCTTATCGATGAAATTAATAGACCAGCAACAGAAATTTGGAATAATATTATTTTTCGGCTGTGCTATTTCTCATAGAAGTACATTGGATTACGCTTATTTGTAAGAGATATTTAGATATTTCCTTTTTGTAATTGGTAAGGCATTTGTCGTGATTATCCATGCATTTTGTATTGCATATAAACGGAAGGTTTTATCTAAATTTAACATGTAGGTGAATATACCACGTAGAAGTTATTCGTCAAATAATTATATATGATAGATAAATACTTGAAAAATCTTCAGCGACAAAGCCCGAATTTACCACTCCACAGTAAACCTACATTTTTTAACAGCTTTTCCATTGTAACATTTAAAAACCGGGGGGAGGGGAGGGGGGTTCCCTGTAATAGATTTATAGATTGTCTGTATGTATGCAGTGAAAAAGAACATCTTAGTCCCTCAAGTACATAAAGCAAATTTGGACTTATTGTAAAAGGACTACCTTCTATTTGCAGCATTAATTTGCGGTATTGAGAATATAAACCATATTATAACATTTAGAAATTTCCGTTTTTAGGAAATGAAATACATTTACAGTTAATTGAATCAATACATATTGGATGAATTAGTGGGAGAGAATTTTATTCTTACCTCTTCTGAAGCAGAATTTTAAATCGAGAATGATGAATTATTAATCGTCTTTAAACTACGATAAGTTTGGCCTACAAGTTTAAAAGAATACCTTTCTGGAAAATGCTTAGGAAATATCTCATACACTGATATATCTTTTGAACTTCATTTATTTACCGAATTGAATTGCCTATTGAAATAATCTGGATTTAATCTTCAAAATTAAGTCAACTTAAATGTTCTTTTAGTCCATCGTATTGCGCACACAATTTCATCTAGAATCATTTTTTACACTATTCATTCAGATGGACATGCTTTACATATCAAGATGTTTGTCTTTGAAATATATGACATATAAAAAAGAATGTTTAAGTTTTCTTTATTGTAAAGGTTTCTGTTTACAATAAAACTATTTATCTGTGCCTCGTTGTTATCATGTGTGTATCTGAAGTTCATACTATATCGAACGGCAATATATTATGAGAGTTTAATACGAAACATTCAAATCCTAAAAGTGATATTGGCATGCCACATACATTCTACATATTACCGCCGCAGTGGTCTCGTGGTAGCATGTTCGGCTCGTGGGTTCAAACCCCGGCGGAGTCAAACCAAAGACTGTAAAATTGGTATTTGCTGCTTCTCCGCTAAGCACGCGGCATTTAGGAATAAGAGCAAAGACTGGTCGGCTCGGAGTGTCCTATTGGGTTGACGTGTCTTCCTGTGAGGACTAATACCTTGTCAACTAGCACGTTTACAATCCGACTCAGCGTGTCGGTCAAGTACAAATCAGGATTTATATTCATATCGCATTAACATGTTCTAGTCCTAAATATTCATTTAATTTGCCACTGGACGTTAAGCAGCCATCCATCCATCCATGAATCATACATACATATATATACGCTTAATAAATCGTTTATTAAAAATATTCGATAGAATGACTTCCAGGTAGTTGATATCTCTCAATTTTTTAATAACGAATGATATATTGTGTGAGTGCCAATGAGACAACTCTCCATCCAAGTCACAATATGTAAAAGTAAACCATTACAGGTCAAAGTACGGCCTTCAACACGGAGCCTTGGCTCATACAGAACAGCAAGCTATAAAGGGCCCCCAACATGACTAGTGTAAAACCATTCAAACAGGAAAACCAATGGTGTAATCTATATAAAAACGAGAAACACTTATGAAACACATCAGCAAACGACAACCACTGAACATCAGGTTCCTGACTTAGGACAGGTGCAAACAAATGCAGCGGGTTTAAACGTTTTAATAGGAGCCAACCTTCACCCTACCTGAAACAAGTGTAACATCAGAACATAGAAAGACACACTATAAAATATCAATTGAAATGGCTTAGCTCAATCAAAAGACATATTAACAAAAACAAGTGAACATACACTGAACGAATAATTTTGATCTATGACACAATGTAGATACAAAATTAATAAAACAGGGAGGTTAGATGTGAAACAATACCAGATAGACAACCATAACCTTGGACAAAATGCCGCCAAATAAAATAACGTACATAGGTAAATAAAAATAATTTTGTTGTAAGGTATACATGGAGTACGGAAATAATTTTTTACAAAATAAATAATTTTGTTGTTCCTAGTACGAGAACAAAAGAGAAAATTTATCGTCATACTAAGCACTTATCAAAAGGGTATATATCAAAAATAGTGAGACTAGATATAACACTGAATAAGTAAACATTAAATAACAAAAATACATTACAAATTGTATCAACAGGTCAAATTGACACGAAAGTACGATTTGAGAGTACTCGCAGTTACTGAAAGCTATTTAAAAGCCAAAAACAATTAATAATAAAAAATCATGCATCAGAGACTAAAATCAACTAAAACACATCCCAGGGATTTGGTTTTCAACTTCATGGGTAGTCAAAGAAGACATGACTTGTGCAATGCCAAAATAAAAGTATCGACAGGCAGTAGGATAGTTAGGTCTGAGTTAACCTGTTAATAAATATATATAATGTAATATATAGAGTAATCTCTATATAGAAAATGAACGTGGATGTGTATTTATACATTCCAAAAAACCGTTTGAGAAGAATACAAATTTAGTTATGTTTTAATTTGCTGCTGACAAAATCGATATTTGTGCCAATGTAAACTATATTCAAAGATCTAATTACAACATTGGTTAGATAACCTTTACTTATAAGTTTGTTTCAAGGTTCGATGAGTTTACACGGATCACATTGTGATTTTAGTACAATATTACCGTAAAATTTAAGATGTGAAATACAGTTTTTAATAAGTTTTCTACTGGTACAGCCAAATTTACTAATCAAATCTTTGTATCTATGAAAGAATTTATTAAAGTTTTAAGCAATTTATGGTAACGAAATCCCTGACTTAATGATTTATCAGTAATACATTGATTACGTTCGTTAAAATCTATGACATCACTTCACACACTGGCATAACGAACGAGTTGGGATATATAAACACCGTATGATGGAGCAAAATGAACATCGCTGTCTAAAAAGGGAAAATTAACAATAGGGAATGAAAAATCGTCTCATTTGTCGTAAATTTTAGTATGGAGTTTCCCTTTAAAACATGAAATTTCGAAATCAAGAAAAGGACAACTACTGCTGTTTATGTTAGATTTAAGTTCCTTTGGGTAAATTTCGGTATTATATTTAGAGAACTCTGGATTATTTAACGAAAAAATATCATCAAGATAACGGTAGGTATTGTTGAATGTATCAACCAAATGTAACAATGACGTGTCTTTACTGAGTTTGGTCATAAACTGAGATTCATAGCAATACAGGAATAAATCTGCTATTAAAGGAGCGCAGTTAGTGCCCATAGGAATACCTACTACCTGTCGATACATTTTATCGCCGAAACGTACATATATGTTGTCCAGGAGAAAATTTAAAGCTTCAATCATATCTTCACATTTCTAGTAAGTGTATCTAGCATACTTTCCTTTTCCGTTACAGAAAAGACTTTAAAAGAGTTACAGCAAATAAATTTGCAATGAGATTTTTCAAAAGGCCATTTAATTTAATATGAAAACTTTTTCTTGATAAGATAGTGTGGAAGTGGTAGTGTAGAGAGTAGAAAAATCATAACTGTCAACAGAATTAAAAGGACCATCAAAAGCACGTATTTTATCTAAAACCTCTAATGAATTTTTAACACTCCAAAAATAATTAATACTATTATTTTCATATGCTTTATTACAAAAGTTAATAACAAGTTCTTTGATAGTAGTAAGGGATGTAGTTAGAAGCACTGACAGATTAGTAGTAGAGCACTTACTAGATACGGAAATGAAACGGAATTTAAATGGTTGTTTGTGTAATTTAGGTAACCAGTACATAGTCGGGACTTTCAAATGTTCTGGAGAGGCTTTAAATGGGTAGTGGCAGTGATATGCTTGTTTACAATTTACATAAAGTCAACTTGTTATAACTTTCCTTTGATAGATTAAGGTTTTTCAATTTTACATCGTTTAGTCTCTAAGCAACGTTTTACTACAAAGGGACGATTTTTCTTTCCATATTGTTAGTGTTCTCTTTTTTGACGGTTATGTTCCTTAGGCCCTTTCTATTGGTGTTTAAATTCTAACTCGTTCGCGATGCCCCATATGTTGAGCGTATGACTTAATAGATTTCAAAGGACGTATTATATGTATCACTGGTAAATTATGACGAACAAATAAATCATGTTTCCAAGCCTAAACAATCAGTCAGTATACTTCCAATAGGTTTAGCGTTATGTCTTCATAAACATTCTAAGAAAAGTATGGCCTTGTACAATGCCAAAACATAAATACCGACATGATGTTGGACCATTATTGTTCATAATTGTATAGAATACATGTACAATCATAATTAGTTATGTTTTAATTTACGAAAAACGAGACTGCGTTAATAGAATGTAAGTTTGTCGAGTTTACAATTCAATAAAGTCCTTCAAAATAACCGTTATAACTATAATACAACATCACAAGGGAGGACTTAGACAACAATTAATACAACATTATATGAAAAAATAAGAAACGAATACAAAATAAATATATTGATACACACTGCTGCTGCTCAACACCAACACCAACGCTAATACGTTCTATCATTGGCAAATAGATTGTTTCCTCTTCATTAAAATTATTAGCAAGCTACAGCTTAAATTTGTACTTTTTCAAAAGTTCGGCATTTTCATAATCACAAATAGGACTTATCAAGATCTGGTAATTAGGTTAATTTAAGAATCAATTTAAAAGTTGGTTTAAAAATCATGAAATTCTAAAATTTGCCTCTGGAACTTTAACAAATATCGAACAAACTACGAATGAATTAACTTACTAATTGTCTTTTATGATTGATGCTTAATCAATCTGAATCTTGTGAGAAAATGTGTCCATGCGGAATTCTATATGTTATAAATTCCACAAAGCCATTTGCATCTTTAAAACTAAAAATATCTGGTTTCTTTTAAAGCACACCAATTTCAGTATGTTCAGATAATTTACATCATTCTGTTAAATTCTCAACAAACCACGGAGTCTGGTTTGAGTATCTCTCAAAGTGATATAGTTTAAAATGTAAGGATAAATTATGAATATTTAATCCCATTTTCAAATTGGAAATCAGAAATTGCTTTATAATTCGCTTATTTTTCCAAATAACATTTCATAGCAATGAAAACGCCCATAATATTTAAATGAAACAAAGATTAAATAATTGTTATTAAAGTCATATGAAACCACTTTCTGGTGATTAATTAATGTTAGGAAATTATTGAACGAACGCATGCATATATATTAGACTAAGTCCTCTGTGTACGTTTTTTTTTGCCATTATTTTTAACGAATCCATAACGTATAATTGGCAAAAAATATTTCATTTGATAATTGTTGATCGAGAAGAACTATGACTGCTAGATAACTTTCGGACTTGAAGTCGAAGTTTACCGAATCGTGATCATGGTAAACAATGAACACATGCCTGTGTGACCTATGGTTCTTATCCCCCTCACCCGGTTTACCTTCTCCCTCTTTTAAAAGTGAACATATCATGCAGCATTGTTCCTTAAATGATACATACTAAGTGTTGTTACCTTGGTTCTGATAAAAAGTTAGAGGACGGACGACAACCGCAAAGTAAGATGACAAACCCTAACTTGGACTCGGATTCTAAAATCATAAGTTACTTTTGCAGGAGATAATGAATGTATTTTGGCCTAAATTATAGATTAACAATGGTCATCCAGGACGAAAGTGGAAGACGATCCATTTTGCCCGACTTTTTTTTCAGAGAAAAAGATAATTGAACTTATCCATACGCAATACAGTTCATAAATGGAGACGTGTTTTACATTTTATGATATCATACTAATCAATATACTAGTACTCAAGTACAGGT